GGAGAATGCCTTGAAGGGAGGTGGAGGTTGCAGTTAGCCCGGATCACACCACTGCACTCCAGCCTGGCAACAGAGCGAGGATCCCTTTAAAAAAAAAAAAAAAAATCCTTTCTGGTTTTGACTTTAAACATTACAAAAATTTGTAATGCACAATGGACACTCCCCATAACACTTCTCTCACCCAAATACTGCCAGCAGTTCAGTGCATATTCCCTCAGCTTCTAACCCTTTTTTTTTTGAGACAGAGTCTCAATCTGTTGCCCAGGCTCTATGAATTTGGCTACTAGAGATAACTCATATGAGGAGAATCATATCCATTGTTTGATTTTTAGCCATTCACCTACATACAGGCTGTCAGTTTGTTTCCCTTTGTTGGGGAGAGTGGAGAGGAGGGACTGTTATTAATGTGCTGCAAGGAACATTGTCACATCTTCGTTCACTTGTAGAATGTGTCCTAGATTCTGGGATTTTCTTTCTTTTTTTTTTTTTTGAGACAGAGTCTCACTCTGTCACCAGGCCCCAGGCTGGAGTGCAGTGGCACGAGCTCAGCTCACTGCAACTTCCGCTTCCTGGGTTCAAGCGATTCTCCTGCCTCAGCCTCCCAAGTAGCTAGGACTACAGATGCGTGCCACCATGCCCAGATAATTTTAGTATTTTATAGTGGAGATGGGGTTTCCTGGTTGGCCAAGATGGTCTCAACCTCTTGACCTCGTGATCCACCCCCCTCGGCCTCCCAAAGTGCCGGGATTACAGACATGAGCCATCGCGCCCGGCCCAATTCTGGGATTATCAAAGGCTATAAACATTCGGGATGAACCTAAAAGTTTGTACCATGCTCTGTTCCCACTAACAGTATATGAAAGCCCAAATTCTCCACTTTCTTGCCAATACTGGCTATTAAAATATTTTTATTTTTCTATTCCTTTTTTTTTTTTTTTTGAAACAATGTCTCACTCTGTTACCCAGGCTGGAGTACAGTGGTGCTATCTTGGCTTACTGCAACCTTCACCTCCCCGGTTTAAGCAATTCTTATACCTTGGCCTCCAGAGTAGCTGGGATTACAGGCGTGAGCCACCATGCCCTGCTAACTTTTTTGTATTTTTAATAGAGATAGGATTTTGCTATGTTGGCCAGGCTGAGACTCCCAAAGTGCTAGGATTACAGGCATGAGTCACCATGCCTGGCCTCAATTCCGCTGTTCTGAAGTCATCTCGAGCATCACTTTGATTGCCTTTGTGTGATCCTTATTTTCTTGCCATCAGCCACTTCCAACCTGGCCAACTTCAGGTTCAGGGTTCTGGGGAAAGACCAGAGGAACAGATCTCAGGGAGATGCACCAAGTATCAGAGTTCTCCATTTATAGCAGAGCCAGGGGTCGTGGCCTCTGATTTCTTTTGGTTGAATATTCTCATGGGATCTTCCTCATATCTCCTTCAATCTGCTTCTTACATCTAGTTCTACAGTATTTTTGGCCAGGTGGGCAAGGTATCTCTGAATGCTGCTTTGATTGAAACTGGATCCTCTGTACAACTACGCAAATCTTTTTCCTAAAGTCAGGAACTTTAAAAAAAAAAAAAAGAAAAGAAAGAAAGAAAGAAAAGAAAGAGCCAGGCACAGTGGCTCACACATTAATCCCAGCATTTTGGGAAGCTGAAGTGGGTGGATCACGAGGTCAGGAGTTTGAGACAAGTCTGGCCAACATGGTGAAACGCTGTCTCTACTAAAGATACAAAAAATTAGCCAGGCATGTTGGTGCACACCTGTAATCTCAGCTACTGAGGGGGCTGAGGCAGAGGAACAGCTTGAACCTGGGAGTTGGAGGTTGCGGTGAGCCCAGATCAAGCCATTGCACTCCAGCCTCGGTAACAGGGCAAGACTCCATTTAAACAAACAAACAAAAAAGGCCAGGCTCAGTGGCTCACGTCTGTAATCCCAGCTACTAGGGAGGCTGAGGCAGGAGAATCACTTGAACCTGGGAGGCAGAGGCTGCAGTGGGCCAAGATCGCACCATTGCACTCCAGCCTGGGCAACAGAGTGAGACTCTGTCTCAAAAGAAGGAAAAAAAACTCTTTAAAAGAAAAAAACAAAAAAGCTGGGGCCAGGTGCAGTGGCTCACCCCTGTAATCCCAGCACTTTGGGAGGCCTAGACAGGCATATCATCTGAGATGAAGAGTTCAAGACCAGCCTGGACAACATGGTGAAACCCCATCTATACTAAAAATACAAAAAATTAGCTGGGTGTGGTGGTGCATGCCTATAATCCCAGCTAATAGGGAGGCTGAGGCAGAAGAATCACTTGAAGCTGGGAGGCAGAGGTTGCAGCAAGCCAAGATTGTGCCACTGAACTCTAGCCCGGGTGACAGAGCAAGACTCCATCACACACACACACACACACACACGGCAAGCAATCTCCCGCCAGGAAATTACAGAGGAAGTTTCCAGGTGTCCTCCACATTTCTCATTTCTTTCCTTTGGTTTTTAAAATATTTATTTATTTAAAGAGACAGGATCTCTCACTCTACTGCCCAGGCTGGAATACAGTGGCATAATCACAGCTCACTGCAGCCTTCAATTCCCAGGCTGAAGTGATTCTCCCATTTCAGTATCCAGAGTAGCTGAGACTACAGGTGCTGTGTACACCACCGTGCCTATTCTTCTGTATACTTTTGTAGCGATGGGGACTAAGGGGGGGTTCTCTTTTTGTTTCCTAGGCTGGTCTTAAACTCCTGGGCTCAAGCCATCCTCCCATCCCTGTCTCCTAAAGCATTGGGATTACAGGTATGAGACACTGTGCCCGGCCAACATTTCTTTCCTTTGTACTCCTTAGTCTGAATGTGGGTATAAACTATTAAAAATAACAAAATTTAGTTCTCGGAACAAAAGAAAATAAAAATATAAAAATAATAAAATTATCTCTGAAGGCCAATCTTGATCTTACTCCTACACATTGAATTCATCCTGTAACAACTTTAAGATAAAAAGTTCAGTCCTTTTCAATTTGCCTGCTTTTCTACTGCAGTTTGGGTGATCTAGGCCTGAACATCACAGGACAGAATCCATCCCTGTCAGCAACTTGACTTGCTCCATTAGGATCTTCACTCTTAGGTTCTTATTTATTCATCCCATCATTTTTTTTCTTATTTTATTTTTATTATTCATCCCATAATTTATTTAGAAAACAGAGAAAAGAAAAAAAGAACAGAAAACAAACAGAAACAATAACAAAAACCAAAGAAAATCCAACAATTCGCAAATACAAACTACAAAACATGAGATATAAAATAAAAGAAAAAGCTTTTTTTTTTTTTTTTTCCTTCAGAACAGAGTTTCGCTCTTGTTGCCTAAGCTGGAGTGCAATGGTGCAATCTCGTCTCACTGCAACCTCTGCCTCCCGCGTTCAAGCGATTCTCCTGCCTCAGCCTCCCAAGTAGCTGTGATTACAGGTGTGCACCACCATACCCCCTAATTTTGGTATTTTTAGTAGAAACGGGGTTTCACCATGTTGGCCAGGCTGGTCTGGAACTCCCCCTCCTCAGGTGATCCACGCGCCTCAGCCTTCCAAGGTGGTGGGATTGCAGGCGTGAGCCACCGCGAAAAGCCTTTTTTTTTTGAGACGGAGTCTTGCTCTGTCGCCCAGGCTGGAGTGCAGTGGCAGTGGCAGGATCTTAGCTCACTGGAACCTCTGCCATCGGGGTTCAAGCGATTCTCCTGCCTCAGCCTCCGAGTAGCTGGTATTACAGGTGCGTGCCACCACACGAGGCTAATTTTTGTATTTTAGCAGAGATGGCTTTTCAGCATCTTGGCCAGGCTGGTCTTCAACTCCTGACCTCGTGATCCACTCGTATTGGCCTCCTAAAATTCCTGGGACTACAGGTGTGAGCCACTGAGCCCAGCCTGAGAAAAAGCTTTTAACCGTATCAATAGATACTAGTTTGTGAGTTTCTTTGGGGGTCACTTACACCCATACCACCTCCTCCAGTAACAATTTACACAAGGCCAAAACACAGGGTAATGTGTAGAAACCCGAAAGCATGTCTCCGACCTCAGCTGCAAAACTGTGGAATCCCACACACTGGACTTTCCTCCCGTTACATTTTTGCTTTTTTCCATCCTTACCTTTACCATATTTTTGCTTTTTCCCATAATTACATTAGATAAGGCACGGGCTAGACGTGGTCTTTTATTAACTTGATCTATTGGGAGAGGATGGGAAAAAAAAAAAAAAGAACCCTAAAAATGTCTTCAGGTCCCAGGCGTTTTCAGAAAGAAAAGACTTCTGCGGTGAGAGTGCTACCTGGTAGGGGCGCGTGGACACACGCGGAGGGCAAGAAATGTTGGATCTGTTGCCGAAACATCTTCCTTCCGACTTCTGTGATTTTTGTTCTCTGGTCAAAGTTGTGGAAAAAAAAAAAAGGAAAAGGAAAATTCAGAGAAAATTGAAAACAACTCGTAATGAACGTGCTTTTTGGATGTGAACTGCTCCCTTTGGAAAGGCAATGGAGAAGTGAGGATGCACTGGGTATCCGGCAGTGGGTACACCCTGCCTGATGGATTCGACCGGGGTTTGGGAGACCCGCCACTCAAAGGCCGGGAAGCAGGGCCACCCCACGGGCGCTACCCTTTGGCCATCTAAGTGGCGACTTGGCGCCTTCCTCGGCGCAGCTCCGGGGTTCCGTCGCCCCGGTTCCCACCGGTCCCCTACACAGAGACCAAAGCCAGAAACCTTCCCTCGTAACTATCGACCGACTGAAAATAGATTGAGTCCGCCCCCCCCCCCCCCCCTTAAAATCCTCCCCTTTAAAGGGAGCCACAGGGTGTCGCCGGGGGAGTTTGCGGAAGCGCTAACCGCGTTGGGGCCTAGGGCGGATCCCGTGATTGGAACCGGCCCCGCCCCCGGCGCCACTTCCCCCATTGTGTGAGCGGCTCGGGCCCAGGCCCCGCCTCCCTTCGGAGGCCTGGCCACTCCCCTTTTTCACCCCCCCTCTTGGCTCATTTCCGGCCGCCGCCGCTACCGCTAGCCTGTAAGGAGGATTCGGCAGAGGGAAGAAACAACAGCCGCCATCTTGTTTGTGTGCTAGGCTCGGGGGGAGAGAGGGCGAGAGGGAGCGGGCGAGAGTGGGCAAGCGGGACGCCGAGCTGAGTGCGAACTGCGGGAGCCAGAGAGTGCGGAGGGGAGCCGGGACGGAGAGAGGCGGCTGGGGCCGAGACAGTGGCAGGGGGCCCGGGGCGCACGGGTTGAGGCGACCCCTAGCCCCCTCCCGTCCGCACACACCCCCACCGCGGCCCCGGAGTCGGGCCGGCGTCGACGCCTAGGGGGGACCATTACATAACCCCGCGCCCCGCGGCGCCTTCGCCCGCCGAGGCGGGCGGCCCCGAGCGGAGCCCCGGGGGGGCGGGCTCTCCCAGCTCCTGGCCGCCGGCGGTGGGGACCGTAGCGGCGGCCGTATTTATTTATTTTCCGCGGGAGAGGAGGGCGAAGGAGAGGAGCGCCGGCGCGAGGAGGGGCCGCCTGCGCCGCCGCCGGAGCGGGGCCTCCTCGGTGGGCTTGGCGTCGGCGCGGGCGGGCGGCGCTGCTCGGCCCGGCCCCCTCGGTCCGCTGGGCCGGCCAGCTCCGCGCCAGGCGTCCTTGCCGCGCCTCCGCCGGCCGCCGCGCGATGTGAGGCGGCGGCGCCAGCCTGGCTCTCGGCTCGGGCGAGCTCTCTGCGGCCATTAGGGGCCAGTGCGGCGGCGGCGCGGAGCGCGGCGGCAGGAGAAGGGTTCGGAGGGTGGGGGCGCAGGCCCGGGAGGGGGCACCGGGAGGAGGTGAGTGTCTCTCGTCGCCTCCTCCTCTCCCCCCTTTTCGCCCCCGCCTCCTTGTGGCGATGAGAAGGAGGAGGACAGCGCCGAGGAGGAAGAGGCTGATGGCGGCGGCGGAGCTCCGAGAGACCTCGGCTGGGCAGGGGCCGGCCGTGGCGGGCCGGGGACTGCGCCTCTAGAGCTGCGAGTTCTCGGGAATTCGCCGCAGCAGACGCGCTCGGCGAATTTGTGTTCCTGTGCCCTCCTCCGGGCTTGGGCCCAGGCCCGGCCCCTAGCACTTGCCCCTACCTTTTCTATCGAGTCCGCATCCCTCTCCAGCCACTGCGACCCGGCGAAGAGAAAAAGGAACTTCCCCCACCCCCTCGGGTGCCGTCGGAGCCCCCCTAGCCCACCCCTGGGTGCGGGGCGGGGACCCCGGGCCGAAGAAGAGATTTCCTGAGGATTCTGGTTTTCCTCGCCTGTATCTCCGAAAGAATTAAAAATGGCCGAGAATGTGGTGGAACCGGGGCCGCCTTCAGCCAAGCGGCCTAAACTCTCATCTCCGGCCCTCTCGGCGTCGGCCAGCGATGGCACAGGTTAGTTTCGGCAGCCCCGGCCTTCCACGTTCCTCTTAATCTTTTCTACTCGGTACGCCTTTATTCTTCCATTTTTTTTCTTCCTTTCTCCCTTTCCCTTAATTAATTTTAAAGGTATTTGAATGAGCTGATCGAAGACGTCCAGTAGCCCAACCATTTTCTTTGCTTCCTAATACATTGGTTGCAACACTGTGTCATATCGGTGTGTGTTCTGGAATTAGAGCTCGTAAGTGGGTGCTGTATAGAAATGGCCTGTATTGTTGCTCCCGTGCAGTTTAATTTGGGAAATGCCAGTGCATTTGTGTGTAAGAGCTTCTATGCAATTTAAGTTTTAATTTTTTTTTGTTCTTGGTAAATGAAGAATTTCGAATCCTTTCTCCTTATTGTACTTACTCTGTTTTCTCTACTTTCCGCCCTTTTCAAGATTTTCTTTCCTTTGCAGAATATTTTCTGCTGAGGAATAGCGTGTAAAAAAAATCTTGATTTTTGTGTGTGTGAGGTCCAAGATTTCGGGTTAGAGGTGAAGTTTAACAATTGTTTTATCTTACCTACCCTTCTTAGCTTTTTTCCTGCTTTATTTGCTGTGAGAATCAATATGGAGTGCAATTCATCTCACATCTCCCAGTTTTGGTGTGAGACCAAAATGTCTGAAACTCTGGGTTTTCAGGTTGTGAGAACAGGGTCATGTTCTTTGCAGTTTGCAGTCAGTTTATCATTTTAGGGGGAAGAAAAAAGATAAACAATTTTGTAGAGTTATGTACCTGGAATCAAGGTTAGAAGTTGAAAGAGTTCCAGTCAGGAACTACAAATATGAACTGATTGTACAAAAGTTTAAAATGTGCATTAGCTTTGGTGTTTTTTTGTCTTTTTACACTTTTAAACACATTTGGAGATCAAGATTTTCTTTTAAAAGCTTTACGGATTCTTCAGTTCATTCAGTTGTGGACCAGCCCCTTTGTCAGGAGAAGTTCAGGGGGACTTCTTCCATCATCCCTTCATTCTCTTCTTACAGTTAGTTTAATGGTTATCCTCATGAGCGGGGACCTTTTCTTTGCTGGAATAATGAAGATGAAGAATGGCTGGCCATCTGACAGTCCACAAGATGTTCCCCTTTACTACGGAGCATCTCTTTAACTCCCTGAGAACAGGCTCAACGTCATCCCTCCATCTGCCAGTGAGAGTGCATAATGGAGTTAAATGTACCCTTTGAGTTTGTAGAGAACTTCAAGAGCATGTTTCTAAGTAGGCTTCATTTCAGAGTGAAAATGGGAAGACAGAGCAAATCCTTTGAATTCGTTGCTTTTATAAGAAAGATGTAAAATGAATTTCAGTTAACCTGCAAAAATTGAAAAACAGAAATCTTGCAGAGTTCTACTTAAGGCTGGTAACATTGATTATGCGTGAACTTTGATCTCTACCTATTCTATGAAGGTACTGTAGTCTCCAAGGATTTTTTTTTAGCTGTTTTTTTCCTTCAAAATTCACACACATAGACACACATCATTTTATTCCTTTGCACCTACGAAAGTGCCATTCAGAAGGATTTTTTAGATCATCTTTACATACTTATTCGCCTGTAGATTTTTGTGGTGGTCTTTTAGTGTTTGTGATGTGGTACTTTTTTGCTTTTTAGTTTTGGTGTATTGTGGTAATGGAGTTTACATTGGAGTTAGCCAGAGACTTGGAAAGTAGGGGAAGCTTTTTAATGTACTTTACTTTGATGAGTCCTGATTTGAGCAGCTTCATCTTGGAGCTGTATTGTTTAACTGCTTATGTTCAGGTGTGCTACCGCTTTTCTCCATATCTAGTCTGCTTTGCTACTTGCAATGTGTTTGAATAATTACAAAAGTTCTAAATGTATCAAGTGGGCTTTTGTAGTTTAAAAAAAAAAACCCTCAACATTGAGATTAATTAATTCATTCCTAATACTAAAAGTTTGTCTTAATTACTTTTCTAAATGTTGTAGTGGGGGTTGATTTTCCCCTCCTTCCCCAAATCAAGATTCTACTCCAGGAATTCTTTGGTGTACAGTTTTTAATTGTAACCAGTCTGGATTTGGGGGAGAGGAGAAATGAGTATAAAGAAAATAGTGTGCCTCTGTGAACTTACTTCAAGTTGGGGACCATCTTTTTTATTATTTTTTTTTTTCCCCCGGAGACAGTGTCGCTCTGTCATCCAGGCTAGAGTGCAGTGGCGGGACCTCACTACAGCCTCTGCCTCTGGGGGTTCAAGGGACTGCAGGCACAGGCCATTATGCCCGGCTGATTTTTTTTGAATTTTTAGTAGAGACGGAGGTTTCACCATATTGGTCACACTGGTCTCAAACTCCTGCTCCCAAGTGATCACCTGCCTCGGCCTCCCAAAGTACTGGGATTATAGGCATGAGCCACTGTGCCCGGCCAGGTTTACCATTATATCTTGATTTTTTTTTTTTTTTTTGTTTTTTTTTTTTGGCATTCAGCAGTTTGTAATATGTTTGCAGGTAACTTTTATTGGAGGCGCATCACCTCTTAAAACTTTAAATTTCAAACTTGTAACTTTTTTTTTTTTTTTTTTGAGACGGAGTTTCGCTCTTGTTACCCAGGCTGGAGTGCAATGGCGCGATCTCGGCTCACCGCAACCTCCGTCTCCTGGGTTCAGGCAATTCTCCTGCCTCAGCCTCCTGAGTAGCTGGGATTACAGGCACGCGCCACCATGCCCAGCTAATTTTTTGTAGTTTTTTTTAGTAGAGACGGGGTTTCACCATGTTGACCAGGATGGTCTCGATCTCTTGACCTCGTGATCCACCCGCCTCGGCCTCCCAAAGTGCTGGGATTACAGGCTTGAGCCACCGCGCCCGGCCCAAACTTGTAACTTTTGAGTTGTCACTTGGGTACTTACAAATGTGTAAGGAAATTATTCCTTGATACTGTGGTTTTTGTCTAGAACTGATTGAAATAAGCTCAAAATTCTAGATCATAGAAACTTTTTTTAAGAAAGTGATTTACACTTCCAAATCTCAAGGTGTAAATATATCCACCAAGAGTGTTCTAGTGTCAGCTTTAAAGGAAAGAAAACTGGAATCCAATGGGATGATATGCTAAAGTGTTAAAGATCAAATTAGTACTTAAGACTCAACGTCTGAATTTGTTTAATACTCATATATTCTCCCAAAATATTTACAGGTTGATTCAAACAAGTTAAACTCAACTTTTACATGTTGGGATGGGGAAGAGAAGACTTATTTGTAGCGTTTACACCTTTATGTTCCTGTTTCGTATTTGCATTTAATCCATCGAAATTTTTATTTCATTTGGTATGGTTAGGGTAAAACAAATCATTTGAGAAATGACATTTTGTTATACCTCTCTTCCCTCCAAAAAAAAAAAAAAGATTATAAAAGCCACTCGTAAACTTTTTTTTTTGTAAAATTATTGACCAAAAGACTAGAAAAGTTAATGTTAGGCAGATCCTGGAAATATTTCGTGAAGCTGTTTCTGATCATCTGAGTGATGGAAATGATGAGGTTCATCTCTTGTCTTCATTACTCAGTGAAGATGTTTCGTCACTGCTTTGTAAATGCTTAATGCCTTATGCACTTAAAGAGCACCTGGAAAGATAGGATTTTAGGATCTGACATATAATTAAGTAGGGTAAAGATCCTTCTGGTTTTGGTAGAGTTTTATGTCCCTGGGTTTTGTGCTTTTTTGGTTTTCGGACTTTTCCCCCATTTCAAAGACATACGGCAGGTAGTGTATAAAGTATACCTACCTTTTGACCGGTAGATTAATGTACACAGTAGAGAAGTGGTACTTTTGTTTTTTTTCCCGTTCGAAAATACACAAAGCAGTTAATGTATAAAGTATACCTCCCTTTTGACCAGAAGATAAATGCACACAGTGGAGACGTGGTAAAGGTTTTTAAAGTGTCAGGTCTACTTTTTTTCCCTTTTTTGAGACAGTTTCGCTCTTCTTACTTTTTTTTTTTTTTTTTAAGACAGGCTTTCACCGTGTTGGTCAGGCTGGTCTTGAACTCCCAACCTCAGGTGATCCACCTGTCTTGGCCTCCAAAGTGCTTGGATCACAGGTGTGAGCTACCACACCCAGCCTTCCCCCGCCTCACCCCCTGTTCTTACCCAGACTGGAGTGCAGTGGCAAGATCCTGGCTCACTGTGACCTCCAACTCCTGGGTTCAAGTGATCATCCTGCTTCGTCCTTCTGAGTAGCTGGGATTACAGGCGCCCACCACCATGCCTGGCAAATTTTTTTTTTTTTTTTTTTTTTTTTTTTTTTTTTTTTTTTTTTGAGGCGGAGTTTCACTCCTGTTGCCCAGGCTGGAGTGTGCAATGGCATGATCTTGGCTCACTGCAACTTCTACCTCCTGGGTTCAAGCGATTCCCCTACCTCAGCCTCCTGAGTAGCTGCAGTTACAGACATGTGCTGCCACACCTGGCTAATTTTGTCTTTTTAACAGTGACGGGGTTTCACCGTGTTGGTCAGGCTGGTCTTGAACTCCCGACCTCAGGTGATCTGCCCACCTTAGCCTCCCAAAGCGCTGGGATTACAGGTGTGAGCCACCACAACTGGCCAATTTTTCTATTTTTTAGTAGAGACAGAGTTTCACCATGTTGGCCAGGCTGGTCTCGAACTCCTGACCTCAGGTGATCTGCCCACTTCCGCCTCCCAAAGTGCTGAGATTATAGGTATGAGCCACCGTGCCCGGCTGTCATCTCTACTTTCTTAAAATGCCATTGTGTGTTAGTGATTTGTCGTCCTGATCAAAACATTTTGGTCAGGGCCATTTATTTTCCAGCTTTGTAACTTGTGATATACTGTTTTGTTTTATTTTATTTTGGCATGAATGTTTATATTAGAGTTTGCTTCTGGAGTCTTTCAGATATAGCTTTTGATTTAGGGAGGCATTGCTGACCTCAGTGTGAAATTGCAAAACATTTTACTAAACTGCCTTAGATTTTTCTGACAATTATTCTTTTTTTTTTTTTTTTTTTTTTTTTTGAAGAA